ACTCCCCCGAGTGGTCACACGGATGTGGGAGACTGAATTTAAGGGCCTCTGAGACCCAGACAAGAAAGCAGCCAAGGAAGGATGCGGAATTCGGCATCTGACTTGGGACGTTATTCACTCAACCTTTATTTATGGAGCACCCGCTGTGCGTGTCCTGGGTCCCACAGATGAAGCCGGTGTGGAACCCTCTCTGGGAGCTTATGGGCTGGCAAGGGAGAACTCACCAACAACGCACGCATGATGCAGCCACAGGGGAAGGCAAGCTGCGGAGGGCCCAGAGGGAGGGACGCGGTGATGGTAAGGCCTCAGGGGCAGGCCTCTCAGATACGGTGGGACTGGATCTGCTGAGGAGTGAATCACTGATCTGCAAGGTCAACCAGAAGAATGGCGAGCCACCCAAGTCATCAACATGATGCATGTCCCTACTGAGTTAACCCACCACTTCCCGCCATGGTTGTGCTCAGGTCTGTATCATGCAAAGACGGCCCCACCTGTAATATTCTGCAGGACTCCGCTCTGGGCTGGGTCATCTGAGAACCATCTGTCAAGGCCAGGCGCGGTTCACCCCATTGTCAGGACTCAGTCACCCAGCAGCTGCACAATGGGTCACAGCTGACCAGCACGTGGCCAGCATGCAGCCCATGGCATCCCTCCTCCCTAGGAGCCTGGCTGCACCGGAAGTCTATCCAGATCATTTGGCTAGAAAAGAACACACGGCAAAAAGAAAAGAATTAAATGCGGAAAAGAGCTTAAACAAGCAGGCATGCATGGGGCTGGTGCCTCTTCCCAGACAGCTTTATCTCTGCAGTTCACGCCCTCTGGTTGTGAACAATTTCAGGGTTGATGGGGTAGCAACCATCAGACATTCTCCTGGTTGCTGTTGATTTCTCCCCCCACCCGCTCCCCGCCTCCGCTGCCCCAGGAGCACATGATGGCCTTGGCAGAGAGAGAGCGTTCATGTTCGTCTCCCACCTCATGAGGTCAAATCAAACCTTGCCAGGGCCGGGGCCCGGTTCCCAGCTGGCGAACAAACGAGTTATTCTGATGCACCGTGCTCCTGTTTATCAGGAACCTGGAGCAGAGCGTCTGCGTTAGGTTCAGAGAGAGCTGCAGCCTCCAGACTGCCCCAGGCCTTGTCTGTCTTCCCAGGATGCGAGAGATGGAGGCCATTCCCTCTCAGTCTCCTATCCCGAGCCTGCTGTCTGCACCTCTGCACTGACCCCTTTCCAGGACGCCAGCCTGGAAAATAAGAGGTGTTGATCTCTGTGGTCTCAGCTGGCAGCAGCTTGAAGCAGAACCTCAGTTCCCCTGTTAGAGACTGAAGCCAGACCATGAGGGTCCGTGGTCAGTGACAAGGCTCTGGCTTCTCTGCTTTGTAGAGATAAACTTCAACAAAGAGACACAAAATAGTGAAACAAGTCCAGTCTTTATTAGCAGGGAAAAAAAGAGAGCACATGTGAATTAGCACACACAGGCTCAGAGAAAGAGTTTTGCCTTCGTGGTAGTTTAGATCACTCTTATGGGCATTTCTTCGAGGTTTCCTGTGGCCGATCAACTTGCTTTGCCTGGTTCTGAGTCTGTTTTGAGTTTATCTCAGGGTCCTCCCCCTGTGTGCGTGCATCTATGAGAAGGTTGACATCACCTATTATGGGGTGGCATCCCCTCCCTTCTCGGCCCCCATGGAGCCTTTCTGTGTATGGTTAGTTGGTAAGGTCTCCTTGACGTTGAGAATAAAGGATATGTGATCTCATTGTCTTCCGTCTGGGCAGGGCTCAGTTCTTCTCTGCCCCTGCGTATATTATCTTCATCATGGAGTTTCTGTCCACAGGCGATAGCTGCTCAGCCCAGGGCCCATTTAATCTCATGCCTCAGTAGCAAGGGCAGGAAAGTGGGCAGGTCCTGGTTCTGCCCCTGCCCCGGTGCAGCTCCGTAGACGAGCCCCAGGCTCCTGGGCCCCGTTTCCCCCATTTCACCTCCCACCCCGAGTGATGGGGAGGACCCATAGCAGGTCACAAGATCTGTAGATACATAACGTGCTTTCATTATAGGCACCAACCCCTCCCCCAAAGCTGGCATCGAGCCCCACACCTGCCTGCCCCATGCCCCTGGAGCAGAGTCTGTGATTGCCTATTGCAGATTCCAACACTACCACCTTGGTAACACATGACCACGTGCCCACACAGAATCCCACCGCCTGCACATCACCAACTTAGCAGCTTTCTTACAGCACACAGTGACCTATTAAAACAATTTAGTGAGCACTTCCTGTGGATGTTTAACTTTTATTGAAAGAAACTCAAGATGAAAATTTTATAACAAAGACAGGTCTCTGAGGACACCACCAGTGCCAGGACAGTTTTCCTCTGGGCCTGGCGAGTGGGGACAGGAGGCAGTTCTCACTTTGTACATTACTGCACAATTGGACCATTTATAAAAGAGAACTCATAGACTATGCACATAAGTGTATGATACAGACACACAGATATACACTGTCATTGTTGTGCAGTAGCTAAGTTGTGTCTGACTCTCTCCAGCCCCAGGGACTGCAGCACGCCAAGCTTCCCTGTCCTTTACTATCTTCTGGAGTTTGCTCAAACTCTTGTCCATCGAGTCGGTGATGCCATCCAACCATCTCATCCTCTGTCATCCCCTTCTCCTCCTGCCTTCAGTCTTTCCCAGCATCAGGGTCTTTTCCAATGAGTCAGCTCTTCTCATCAGGCGGCCAAGTATTGGAGCTTCAGCTTCAGCATCAGTCCTTCCAGTGACTATTCAGGGCTGATGTCCTTTAGGATCCAATGCGTGTGTGCTTTAAATACCGTTTTATACATGGCATAGCTTTTAAAAGGATGACCAAAGCATCTCTGCACACCATGACTGCTCCATAGAGAGCGCCTTGTCCCAGGAAGCTCCACGTAGGTTTAAACGGGCCTTAAGATGAGTGACAAGGAGGAGAAGTCAGAGGTGGCGCTTTCCCACTTAAGTGCATGGAACACAGGCCGAGAGACGGTTTCTCTAGTCCCCCTGGGACCCTCCTGGGGGAATCAGTGGCTGGTCTGTAGCCGGTGCTCTGTCCCCTGCTGGGAAGGCTCAGGCAGGATGAGTCAGGGGCTCTCTCCAGCCCCACATGGACCCGCCCTGACCTCCCACGTTCTCACCTGCAGCCTGTGTGCAGGACGCTGGGTACCAGTCGTCCTGCCCAGGTCCTCGGCCTCTCCTCCCCTCCCTCAACCAGGGGCCAGTCGCCTCCACCTGCCTTCCAGCCTCCAGAGCGACCTGCTCTAGGGGCTTGTCCATCTTCACCCTGTGGGTTCCAAGCCCAACTTGCTCTCTGGCTGACGTGGGCCTCAGACAAGCCAAGGGACCTCTGTGCACCCCAGGTCCACATCCCCAACTTCGAAATAAACACCGTACACCACTCCCCAGGCCAAGCCCCCTGCCTCCTGTGGGGGCAGCTGCCCACCAAGAGTTAACCAGGCAAAGGTGGGTCCGGAGCTCCAGGGAGGCCGGCAAGGAGTCAGAGATAATCATCATGGCATTTATCTAGACCTCCTTTCTGAAAGGACATCTACAATCTCTTCTTAATCCTGCTACAAGGCTGTCCCTCGGGTGGGATCACGAAGATTTATCTCTGCATCCTCCATCTGGTACCCGACAACCACTGGCACCAATTGGAAAAGCCCCTTCCGAGTTCTTTTTCAAGGACAAAGTAAATGTCGACTAGGGCCTGAGCCAGCCTGAAACCCCAAAGGAGGTGATGGATGTTGGCAGACGGAACAGATTAATAAAAGAGTGAATCAGAGGTCTCAGTCCTGGCCAGACCATCTTTTATCACTGAGCTGCTGTGGGCAGATCAGGACAGACCCTGGGGGGACCCTCAGAATTCCAGACCAAGTCTAAACTGGAGGATATCCACTTGAGACTAGGAAGCAGCCCCCTTTTGAGGCTACAGCAAAAATGCATCTGTTCATCTGACATTACTGGGTCCCTTCTGTGTTGGGCATTGAAGAGACAGAGGCAGATAAAGGGAGAAGGAGCATGTCATGTCAGATAACTTGGAAGATGTGTAGTCAGTGACTCACTCCTTCACTCACTCGCCAGTGGGAACTCGCTGAGTGCCTGTGTACCGGCATCAGCTGCTCATTCATTCTGCTGTGTTCTCTCTTCCCAAAAGACTGACCATCTTCCAAAACACAGATTAATTTTCTCAGTTAATTAAAAAAACATTCATTGTGTCTCCAATTGTCTGTTCCTCTGCTGGACTTCAAGGCTCCAGAAGGCAGAGACATTTGTCTGATTCCTTCACTGAGGTTTCCCAAGCACCCAGAATATGGTATGTGTGTCTGCGCATGCTAAGTCACTTCAGTTGTGTCCCACTTTTTGCGACCCTGCTCCTCTGTCCAGGCAAGAATACTGGAGTGGGTTGCCATGCCCTCCTCCAGGGGGTCTTTCCAACCTAAGGACTGAACCTGCATCTCCTGCAGCTCCCGCATTGCAAGTGGATTCTTTACTGCTGACCCACCAGGAAAGCCCATAGCACATGGTGAAGTGAAGTGAAGTGAAAGACGCTCAGTCGTATCCGACTCCTTGTGACCCCAAGGACTGCCGCCCACCAAGCTCCTCTGTCCATGGGATTCTCCAGGGCAGAATACTGGAGCGGGTAGCTGTTCCCTTCTCCAGGGTATCTTCCCAACCCAGGGATCGAAATTGCAGGCAGATTCTTTGCCAGCTGAGCCACAGGGAAGCCCAAGAATACTGGAGTGGGTAGCCTACCCCTTTTCCAGCGGACCTTCCCGACCCGACTTGAACAGGGGTCTGCTACATTGCAGGTGGATTCTTTACCAGCTGAGCCACCCAGGAAGCCATATAGCACATGGTAGGTGCAAGTAAATCTCTCTCAGTGAATGAAGGTCCCCTCCACATGCACAGTATTGACACTGGATTAAACAGCTCACTGGTGAGAACCTGCGTCCAGCACAGGGCGCTCTCCTCAGCGCTCTGCGATGACCGACACGGGATGTATGTGCGGGTATGGCGGATTCATTTCCCTTTACCCCAGAAACGACACAGCATTGTAAAGCAACTATACCCCAGTAAAAGCTAATTCAAAAAATCAATGAGGGTCACCTCTCCAAGGCTGCAACCACAGAGACCGCATTCAGCGCTCCTGGAGGCTGAGATGGCTTTTCTCCCAAACCTTCGCCCAGGGCTGGTCTCTCTGATCCTGAGGCTATGATCCTGAACTCTGTAGTTCTGCTCAGGACTGTCCCAGGGCCAGCCTCTCCTGGTGACATGTGTCCCCACAGCCCCGGGTCTCTCACGGGTCTTCTGGGGCCCACGTGTGCACCCCCGCATCCTCACTGCCAGTCTGGGACAGGCACCCACAACCGGTCCACCGGTCTGATCTTTCCAAACCTCTCCTCTGACTGCAGGTCAAGCTTCCTTCAATGCTTTGGGCTCCCCAAGAAGAGAAGGAAAAGGGGGTATGAATGGTGGAGGGGAGGGAGGAGGGGGCACAGGTGGGGGGTCGGCCCCCTCCTTGGGGAGGTGAGCGATGCGGGCCAACAAAGGACAGGCCGGCCCTGGCTGGCCCCCACTCCCTTTCTCTGCGAGGCGCCCACTCGGCCTTGAAGGCTCTTAGAGCACAGAGCCGTTTTGTCCCCTCGGTCGACAGCCCCTCCCTGGTCATCCCAGCGGCAGGTTTCCAGGCTCAGGGATGCCCACTAAGCCCCCGGTCAGAGAAGGGGCTGCAGAACAGCAAAGGTCCGCCAAGGCCGAGCTCCGGGGAGGGCGGCGGCGACCAGCGCTTCCAGCCCAGAGTGGACGCACGGGGTTAATGCGCCGTCGAGGGCCACAGGGACCAGGGCTGGGGGCCTGGCCCCCAGGAAGTGGGAGCGGAGCTGGGCCTTGAAGACTGGGGAGAGGAGAAGCAGCGGGGTGTGGAGCGGCCATTCCTGGCGGAGGAAAGGGAGACCCAAGAGCCGGGACTCTCGCGGAGCTCAGCGGGGGGAGGCGGCTCCGGGGGCGGGAACGGCGGTTTCCAGGGGGTGCGGAAACCAGACCGAGGGCTGCTGTCTGCTCACCGAGGGGCTGGGGTGTTATCCTGGAAGGAGGCCCACTCTGAGAGGCACGCGATCACACTCTGCTTTAGGATGACGCGGGGCCCTAGAGCGGGCATGCCTCCGCAGAAGGAGGCCTGGTGCCAAGTCATGTTCCTGCCCGTGAACCCGGCTCCTGGGGGAAGACCAGCCGACTACTTTCAGGAGGAGACAATGCTGGCCGTGACGCTCACCGGGATACTGCAGAAAAAAGAGAACAAATATATGTTTTCACAGCACTGAGCACAATTTATAAAGCACTTTTTTTTTCTTTTTATTTTAAGAAATAAAAGGAAATTGTGGCTTAGGGATATGAGGCAGCTACCCATTCAGGATGGGCTGGGTATTTCCTCGTCCAACAGCGAGATGATTTCCACCTTCAGTGGCCTATTGAAATGGGTCTCCCTACTTCATTGCCACCCACATGTAGATTATGCATTAAGCAAACTTTCAGCTATTCAGAAAACAAACCAGTATTTTCTAAGGAAATCACTGAAATTAATGAAACCTTGTATTTTACAGACTGATCTATTACTATCATCCCTTTGAATTTATTTAGTTTGATTTTTCCTTCATGAAACTTAGAATTCTACCAAAAGGTTTTGCTATCAGACTGTTATTCCAAAACCGACCCTTGAGCTAGTTAGGATGAAAAAATAGACAAATCATAGCATGGATCACACACAGGGACATGCCTGCTCCTATTTAAAATAGCAAATTTTAAAAAATGTAAAACCTAGCACAAGCTTGCTTGCATATAGTATCTGGCACACAAATTTTCAGGGTGATTCTCTTAACCCTCGTGAAAACTTTGTAAGTTGGATATAGCCTGTAGTCCAATACACTGTGAAATAAAATCTTTTTTCTTTTTTTGCTGCTTATGAACTTTTCAAACCAGGTTTTTCTTATTTATTTATCTTTAATTGAAGCATAATTGCTTTACAGTTTTGTGTTGGTTTCTACCAAACATCAACATGAATCAGTCATAGTCAAACCAGGTGTTAAAGAACTGACTTGGGTGAAAGCTAACTTGTTAGTAACAGGCTTAAGGTTTAACATTCAGAAGGAGCAGGTTCAATGTCAGGAGGGAAACAAAAGCAACTTGTCTATAATTTGGCGCAAAAATAAAAAGAGCGTTTTGATTCAAAGAGCATCTCCCTGAATAGGTTTACAAACACTGTGGGAATAAGTGAGATGGATTACCCCAGCCTCCTTATACTATGTGTGGACAGAGGTGAGGTGAGGGAGAATCAACCCATCTCACGGCACCATTAGGCTTCTTGTTTCTGTACCAGACCTAGAGTTGAAGATTGAAAGGAAGGCTTCATCCATCAAGTACAACAGCGTGATATTGTTTGTAACAAATCAACCTTGACTGGTTGTCAAGGGCTGTCTGAAGGCCAGCAGGATGGATGGGATGGGTGGGCATTTCCGGAGGTCCCAGGTGTGAGTCATAATGACAGTGCAATGGAGCCATAATTCAAAATGTTACCTAAACATCCTTGAACTTTTCTATGTGCTCACTGTGTTCTCCAAGGACATGAAATGGAACAGGAGGTGTTATTCATGTCACAAGTTAGGCTGGGGCTAGGCTACCCAGTGCAAGCCCTTGATGAGCCAGGGCTGTGCCACCTCGGGCCAGTTCCTTAATTACCATTTGTTTCAGTTTTCTCATCTGCGAGATGGGGGGCTGGGAAGTACCTACTTCTTAGTGTTGCTTTGCAGACTGAGTTTATGTGACAACGCCAGGCACACAGGCTAATCCTTAAAATGAAGGAAAAATTAGAAGACACTTGAATGGGCTTTGGGGCTTTCCTGGTGATTCAGATGGTAAAGAGTCTGCCTGCAGTGTGGGAGACCTGGGTCTGATCCCTGAATTGGGAAGATCCCCTGGAGAAGGAAATGGCAACCCATTCCAATATCCTTGCCTGGAGAATCCCATGGACAGAGGAGACTGACAGACTACAGTCCATGGGGTCACAGAGTCGGACACGACTGAGCAACTTCACTGATGAATGGGCTATAATGTTTTTTAATATATTATTTTTTGAAAAAGATGGATCCTGAGAGGAGTCAGTTAATTCATGAGGGTACAATGCCCACTGGGTCAGATGGTAAACCTGCTTAGGGTGGGGGTGCAGATCTCTTTCTCAATTCCTTCACAAAACTTGGCATAATGTCAGTTTGGCACTTCAACAACTGATGACCAATCCCAGGTGACTGTTTGTTACAGGAATTCAAGCTTGGGAAAACATCTGCTTTGGGGACATGATTGGATCCATGGGTTCTGAACCACTAGGGGCTGGTCCTGGTGGAGATTTCAGCTTTCATGCCAACTTGATGGGCTTCACACTCATCCTCCAATGTTTGTTTGTACAACCATCAAAGAATTGCCTACACTCTAATCTCAGGCTCCTTCCCTTTACCTTGCTGGTCCTCATGTTGGGAACCGCTGCCCCCCACGATTTGTCCAGGTCCCAGGTGGCTCAGTGGAAAGAATCTGCCTGCCAATGCAGGAAGTTAGAGTTAAATCCCTGGGTTGGGAAGATCCCCTGGATAAGGGAATGGCAGCCCACTCCAATGTTCTTGCCAGGCAACAGAGGCCATATGCATATTTGTTAAGTGAACTGTGGATGCCCTCCAGCCGAAATTCTAGAATAGTGAGCAGAGTTGGTTTAATGGAGTTGTTGCAACAGAGGCAAACATGCAGCTTGGGGCTCCCAGGGCTCCTCAGAAAGGGGGATCAGGAAGCATGTGTAGGATTTGGGCACTGATAGGTGATCCTAGGGAAGCTTCAAGAAAGCTGGGCTTTGTTTTAAATTGACCGTTGCTGGGATGGGAGTCATTCTATGACTGGGTGCCTCGTTATCTCATCTAGCAGGTCAGAGCAATGCAACAAGGCTAGAGCTGTAATTGTTAACCCCAGCACTCCCATCGGGCAGGACTGGGGACTCTAGTGATACATGTGTGGTTGGAAAATGTCTTTGTTGTTGACTGTGCTCAGACACAGTCATCCTGTGGTCCTGGGATTTCTGGCTCCATCAAGGGCACAGAGATTTGTCACTGCTGCGGGTCTGGAAGACTCATGTGTCCAGGTGGGGGGCACCAAGGTCTGGCTGATCAAATCATAACAGTTCAGGTGTCCCAACTGTCTGCCTCATCTCAGCATATGCAGCAAATATTCCTGAGGTGGGAAGGGCAAACCACCTCAGCATTCTTGCCTTGAGAACCCCATGAACAGTATAAAAAGGCAAAAAGATATGACACTGAAAGATGAACTCCCCAACTCAGTAGGTGTCCAATATGCTATTGAAGAGCAGAAAAATAGCTCCAGAAGGAATGAAGAGGCTGAGCCAAAGCAGAAGCAGTGCCCAGTTCTGGATGTGTCTGGTGATGAAAGTAAAGTCTGATGCTGTCAAGAACAGTATTGCACAGGAACCTGCACTATTAAGTCCATGAATCAGGGCAAATTGGAAATGGTCAAACTGGAGATGGCAAGAGTGAACACTGACATTTAAGGAATCAGTGAACTAAAATGGACAGGAATGGGAGAATTTAAATCAGATGACCATTATATCTACTACTGTGGGCAAGAATCCCGTAGAAGAAATGGAGTAGCCCTCACAGTAAACAAGAGAGTCCAAAATGCAGTACTTGTACAATCTCAAAAACGACAGAATGATCTCTGTTCATTTCCAAGGCAAACCATTCAATATCACAGTAATCCAAGTCTATGCCCCAACCAGTAATGCTGAAGAAGCTGAAGTTGAACGGTTCTATCAAGACCAACAAGACCTACTAGAACTAACACCAAAAAAAAAAAAAGATGTCCTTTTCATCATAAGGAAATTTAATGCAAAAGTAAGAAGTCAAGAGATACATGGAGTAACAGGCAAGTTTGGCCTTGGAGTACAAAATGAAGCAGGACAAAGACTAACAGAGTTTTGCCAAGAGAATGCACTGGTCATAGTAAACACCCTCTTCCAACAATACAAGAGATGATTCTACATATGGACATCACCATACGGCCAATACCAAAATCAGATTGATTATATTCTTTGTAGCTGAAGATGGAGAAGCTCTATACAGTCAGCAAAAGCAAGAACAGAAGCTGACTGCACCTCAGATCATGAACTCCTTATTGCAGGATTTAGGTTTAAATTGAAGAACTTAGGGGAAACCAGTAGGCCATTCAGGTATGACCTAAATCAAATCCTTTACAATTACACAGTGGAAGAGACAAATAGATTCAAGGGATTAGATCTGATAGATAGGATGCCTGAAGCACTATGGACAGAGGTTTGTAACATTGTACAGGAGTCTTTAATGAAAACCATTCCCAAGAAAAAGAAATGCAAAATGGTGAAATGGTTGTCTGAGGAGGACTTACAAATAGCTGAGAAAAAAAGAGAAGCTAAAGGCAAAGGAGAAAAGGAAAGATATACACATTTGAATGCAGAGTTCCAAAGAATAGCAAGGAGAGATAAGAAAACCTTCCTAAGTGAAAATGCAAAGAAATAGAGGAAAACAATAGAAAGACTATTTAGAAAGTCTAGAAAGACTAGAGCTCTCTTCAAGAAAATTAGAGATACCAAGGAAACGATTCATGAAAAGATGGGCACATTAAAGGACAGAAATGGTATGGACCTGAGAGAAGCAGAATATATTAAGAAGAGGCAGCAAGAATATACAGAAGAACTATACAAAAAGGATCTTCATTACCCAGATAACCATGATGGTGTAATCACTCACCTAGAGCCAGACATCCTGGAATGCAAAGTCAAGTGAGCCTTACAAAGCATCACTACGAGCAAAGCTAGTGGAGGTGATGGAATTCCAGTTGAATCATTCCAAATCCTAAAAGATGATGCTGTGAAAGTGTTGCACTCAATATGCCAGCAAATTTGGAAAACTCAGAAGTGGCCACAGGACTGGAAAAGATCAGTTTTCATTCCAATCCCAAAGAAGAGCAATGACAAAGAATGTTCAAACAACTGCATAATTATGCTCAGTTCACATGCTAGCAAAGTAATGTTCAAAATCCTTCAAGCTAGGCTTAAACAGTATGTGAACCAAAAATTTCCAGATGTTCAGGCGGGATTTAGAAAAGGCAGAGGAGCCAGAGATGAAATTGCCAGTATCCACTGAACCATCAAAAAAGCTAGAGAATTCCAGAAAAACATGTACCGCGTCATTGACTATGCTAAAAGCTTTGACTATGTGTATCACAACAAACTGTGGAT